GTTATATATATGGATATAGATACTTTATGACTGCACAACAATTATTTTTAATAATCCTATTCATTAACTTTGCAACATCCTTCAATACTTCATTCCAATACTACCTCTGGTGTTGTTGTTTTTCTGGGGAGATACTATTGAGGCAGCACTGCCAGCATTTTGTTAGCATTTTCTTGAAAGAAAAAAAATTCAGAGCCCTCATACAGAAAAGCATTTTCACAGGTCATAATTGTCATAATTTATTATTTATATGCTGTCCATCTGACTGGGTTGCCCCAGCCATATGGACATCCCTGCTTGTCGAGAGAGAACCAGGTAAGAAAAAGCAGCCTTTGAAATTGGCTCCATATACACCTGTCCATATACACCAAAGGCCTGGTCTACACATGCTCCAGAAATGAGGTGGTAGAATGCACTGCATCACCTTAGATTGAAGGTGATGCATGCCATTTTCAAATGACCAACCTATATAAAATATAATATAAAAATTATGCAAATAAGAATCTAGCATGAAATGAGTGTGCTAGATTTTTACATGCAGAGATTCATTCGTTTTACACGGAACTGAGTCTAACCTGGGATTCCCCTGTAACCTACATTCTGAAGCAGGACAGTCCAACTTTCAACTTATGTCTTTCCACATCATACTCCTGCATTTGTAAACTGGGCAACACGTCCCTTTTGTGGCATTTCAATGGGTCAACCCTACAATCAACCCTCCAGACAGGGTAAATTCTAAACTTCATTCACTTGGGCCACCTGGGTGCTGGAGATTGTTGGCAGACTCACAAGTTTGTGTCAGATTTTTGCAAGGACATCTATCAAACCACAGTATCATTCTCAAACGTTCAAGGTTTCAAGCAAAATAATTTACACCCTATTTCAAGATTCCTGACATACTGAACACAAAGTAATAGTTACTCCCATGTTTTAGATTTGCTAGCCTTGGAAGGATTTTTATCAGCAGTTAAAGATATTTTTTCAAAGCAGAGGATATTGGGCTGCTTGAAGGCTCTCCAAGGCCCTCAACGGAGTGACCCTCTGGGTGGGCTACAGCTTGGATTCAGGGTTCAATCAACTGAGAACACATGGGCAGTGGGGAGGGAGGAAATGTGCCATTGGCAGCACTGTTTATCTGTATTCCTCTGTTACTCCGGTGGGAGAGGAGCTGGCAGCAACCTACGGCTTGGGTCGTTGCCAGGAATCTTCTGGAGCCATTGACCAAAGCCCCACACCTCCTCCCCATCTCTCTGGCACTAACAGAATGCAACACAGTCTCATTAGCACTGTCTTTCCCCATCCTCACACATGGAAGAGGCGAGCCTTGCGATGCAACACCACTCCCATCATACATTTCAGCTCCCTAGACATTACCATGGGACAGAAGGAGACAAAGTGACTGTTTTCGGAAGGAAACTGTAATATTTATCCCAGCCATATTCAACAGACTACCTGTTATTGGGTTGCAGTAAGAAATTGCCAACTACTGACACTCTTGGCATCACAATAAACTATACTCTGCAGGAATCTCTAGACTGAAGTCAAAGCTCAGAAAAAATCATAAAACAAACAAATGCAATTAGTCACAGCAGTCTGATGCATGGGATGAGGACACAGCTCAGCAGCAGAGCACCTGTTTTCCATGTACATAGAAGATATCAGGCTCAATCCTTCTCATTAGCAGTTAGTAGATGTGAAAGATCTTCTACCGAAGACCCTCGGAGTCTGCAGACTCTCAAGAGTCTTGATCCAAGGCTGCTTCCTAGGTTCATAAACTTATTGGGAGGAACAGGCTCTGTTTGAGCTGTTGTCCTAATAAAATCAGGCCTCTAGAAACAGACAAGGAGAGCACCTTTTTTGGCCTACAAATGCTCAGATTCAATCCTCAGCAACTGCAGACAATCAGGTAGTAAATGACGGAAACCTCCACTTAACACTTTGAAGAGGCTCTTCCTGCCAGAGTTGACCATACTGGGCTAGAAAAATAAGAATTTCTTCTTATACAGTGGTACCTCGCAAGACGAATGCCTCGCAAGACAAAAAACTCGCAAGACGAAAGGGTTTTTGGCTTTTTGAGTTGCTTCGCAAGACGATTTTCCCTATGGGCTTGCTTCGCAAGATGGAAACGTCTTGCAAGTTTGTTTCCTTTTTCTTAACACCGTTAATACAGTTGCGACTTGACTTCGAGGAGCAACTCATAGCACGTGGTGTGGTAGCCTTTTTTGAGGTTTTTGAAGACTTTGGTGATTTTTGAAGCTTTTCCAAAACTTTTCCGAAACCGTGCTCCGCAAGACGAAAAAAATTGCAAGACGAAAAAACTTGTGGAACGAATTAATTTCGTCTTGCGAGGCACCACTGTACAAATTTGTGGAAGAAAAAGCTACCGGTGGTTACTAGCAGTGATTATACTGAAATAAGGCAGCTTCCTGCGCTCCTCGGACAGTTTTTGTAGTCAGCACAGTTCTCTCTGTTATTGTTTACTGTTCAGACTAATTAATGCTTTAAAATAACTGGCCCAAATTCGACAGGCTGTAATTTTTGCTAGTCAAATGCTAAACCAATACCTACTCTCTCTGCCCATAGCATGCAGTGCCCTGGACTGTGACAGCTGATCTGGGAAAAAGAGCTGGTGGGTGAATTGCCTTGTATTTGGGCAGGAGATAGACCCAGATGAACACCACAAATCACATGATATAGCAATTTAAAATGCTACTGCAGCCTCTTAAAAAGAAGACATCACCTTGTTGACAAAGATCCATAGAGTTAAACTATGGTTTTCCCAGTAGTGATGTATGGAAGTGAGAGCTGGACCACAAAGAAGGCTGATCGCCGAAGAATGGATGCTTTTGAATTATGGTGCTGCAGGAGACTCTTGAGAGTCCCACGGACTGCAAGAAGATCAAACGCATCCATTCTGAAGGAAATCAGCCCTGAGTGCTCACTGGAAGGACAGATCGTGAAGCTGACGCTCCAATACTTTGGCCACCTTATGAGAAGAGAAGACTCCCTGGAAAAGACCCTGATGTTGGGAAAGATTGAGGGCACAAGGAGAAGGGGACAACAGAGGACGAGATGGTTGGACAGTGTTCTCGAAGCTACAAACATGACTCTGACCAAACTGCAGGAGGCCGTGGAAGACAGGAGTGCCTGGCGTGCTCTGGTCCATGGGGTCATGAAGAGTCGGACACGACTGAACAACAACTGCAGCCTTGTGGCTACTGATCTCTTTCTCCCCACTACTTCGCTCTGAGCTGGACAAGTTTTTGCCTGTGAAGAAAGCAGCCTCAACAGAAACACATTTCCCTTCACATTTTTTGTGAAATGTGTTAGAAGCATGCACTGTGGTGTGTTCTCTCATCCAGGACTCCTGAGCAAGCTAGAGGTGGGGTGGTTGTCCTGTCTTGCAAAGTCGCCTCCTACACTTCCTGTTGCCCATCACTAGAAAATAGGAGGCCCTGCTGAAATGCTAAGTGCCAAAAGCAAATTCCGCTTTATCAAGAAACAGCAGGACATGCTTAAAAGAAGGTCTCAGAAATGTAAATAACAGAGCAGAACACTGAAGCATATCTTCTGCGCTGTCAGGGAATAATGCAAACAGAACAGTTGCTATGAGAACTCCACAATCCGAAGATAAGAGGGCACAAGTTCGTTGTCTTCAGATATTTAGGAGGTTGACACAACCTTCTCTCCTTCACAGCATGGTGGTCCTGGCAATACTCTTCCCCCCTACACATGGGAGCAAGACTGCACCTTTCACCCCCTCTCTTGTGTTCACAAATGAGAATATATGAATAGTGAGTGCATGTGTAAAATCAAATGTGCATGAACCTGAACACTACAATCAATAGCCCAGATAAAATCTAGGCAGTGAGCCAGCAACCTGAGCCTATGTATATTTTACCCACAAAACATTCTATCCATGGATATCTGGGGATAGGACAGGTGCAGTAAGAGTGCAGGGAGGTAATGCACACATTCAGTTCCTAAACATACATGAGAGAGAATGTCAAGTGAAGAGTACTGTATTGTTTTGTTCAAACTGGGCCAGAATCTCTTAATGGGCCTAAATACTATGGAAAAAGTAGTCAATTGGCACCCACAAAAGGCCACTAAGCAGAAGGACTCAAAGTGTGATAAGATAGAAAAGTCATGGTAAATCTTATTTCCTACAAACATTTAAAGCTAGAACCACTGTGCCTAAGCCCAAACGGTGCACGTTAGACATCCCAAAGTCTCTCATTTCATTCCATTTACTTGGGGAAAGGAGACAAGGCCAGCACATGCTCCAATCATAGCCTTGAAGCAATCCAGGAAGGGAAGTCATCAGGTCTCCTTATGAAACCGTCAGCCCTCAGCTGTTCAGTGCTTAGAGCAAAGCTCTCTGGGAAGCCCCAGCTACAGCTAACTGAGTTCTGTTGGGCAGCTGCCCTTTAAACTACAGTGGTACCTTGGGTTAAGTACTTAATTTGTTCTGGAGGTCTGTTCTTAACCTGAAACTGTTCTTAACCTGAAGCACCACTTTAGCTAATGGGACCTCCTGCTGCTGCCGTGCCGCCGGAGCACGATTTCTGTTTTCATCCGGAAGCAAAGTTCTTAACCTGAGGTACTATTTCTAGGTTAGTGGAATCTATAACTTGAAGCGTATGTAACCTGAAGCGTTTGTAACCCGAGGTACCACTGTATTTCTATTTTATTAAAAGTTTTCTGTGAAAAAATAATATGAAAGAAAGGAAATGTGAATACAGTCATACCTCGGGTTAAATATGCTTCAGGTTGAGCGTTTTCAGGTTACACTCTGTGGCGATCCGGAAGTAATGGAATGCGTTACTTCCGGGTTTTGCCACTTGCGCATATGCAGACACTCAAAATGACGTCACACGCATGCGCAGACGCAGTGAATCGTGACCCGTGCAGACGCGGGTTGCATTCTACTCAGGATGTGAATGGGGTTCTGGAACAGATCCCATTCGCATCCAGAGGTACCACTGTACTGTGAAAGGGGGATAAAAAGGAAAAGTAACCAAACAAAAACAATGCAAAAGAGTATGCAGTTGATTATATGGGTACATAAGTAATAGAGTGGTACCTCAGAAGTCGAACAGAATCTGTTCCAGAAGTCTGTTCGACTCCCAAAATATTTAGAAACCAAGGTTCCTGCAGCCAATTGGAAGCTGTGTCGGATGTTCAGCTTCCTAAGAACGTTCACAAACCAGAACATTCACTTCCAGGTTTGCAGCATTTGGGAGCCAAAACAGACAAGTACCAAGGCGTTCAACAACCAAGGTATGACTGTACAATTAATCCAATAAATTTAAAATTATTAACAATACATTATACTCTATGAATGGATTCCAAATATCATTGTATTTACCATATTTTTCCCTCTATAACACGCAGATTTTTTCTCCTAAAAAGGAAGGGGAAATGTCTGTGCGTGTTATGGAGCGAATGTGTGGTCCCTGGAGCCAAAAAATCAAGCAAAAGTCAAATCGCTCTTCACGGAGAAGGGAAACCTGAAAAGAGGAAGTGGCAGCTTTCCTGCATTCTGCCTCAGGGTCTTACTGCCCACCCGCCTCTGTTTCGTTGCTGTGATTGCTGAAACGGAACAAAGAGCAGGGAAAGCCCCTCCCCTCCAGGCAAGCAGAGGGGAAAGTGTCGTCTCTGTGCTCAGGTACTGCTGGGGGAGAGGAAGAGAGAGTGGGGTTGAGGTGAAAGGGAGTGGGGGGGGGAAGAGAGAGGAGAGAGAGAGAGAGAGAGATTAGAGAATATTGGGCTGCTTGGGGGGGAACTTTTGCCTCCCACCCGTTAAATCCCCTGCCCAGCATTCTTAGCCAAGTCCTGGCTTCTCTGCACACCCCTCTCATGTCCCCTTTTCTTGTTTTCCTTCCCCCCCACTTTAAAATTGGGTTCACAAAGCATAGCTCAACATGGAGTCCTCAGGATCTTTGCAATTGGCGTCACCCCAAAATTCACCATCTAGATCACATAGCATGTCCATTTGCAAGCTGCACCAAAAAATCACGCACCCACTGTTTGCCTGGGCTGCATGTGCACCAAGGATCAATGGACAATCTCGCACCCCTGTGCCTGGGCTACCAAAAATCCCACCACTGTCCTGGTGCAATGGTGCACGTGGTTAAAAAGCATGGATCCACATGGATCCTCAGGATCTTTGCATTGGGTCACCCCAAATTCACCATCAGATCACATAGCATGTCCATGGCTACAGCCTGCACCAAAAAAATCACGCACCCACTGTTGCCTGGGGCTGCAATGGTGCAAAAACGTGGTTAAAAAGCATGGATCCACTTGGATCCTCAGGATCTTTGCATTGGGTCACCCCAAATTCACCATCAGATCACATAGCATGTCCATGGCTACAGCCTGCACCAAAAAAATCACGCACCCACTGTTGCCTGGGGCTGCAATGGTGCAAACACGTGGTTAAAAAGCATGGATCCACATGGATCCTCAGGATCTTTGCATTGGGTCACCCCAAATTCACCATCAGATCACATAGCATGTCCATGGCTACAGCCTGCACCAAAAAAATCACGCACCCACTGTTGCCTGGGGCTGCAATGGTGCAAACACGTGGTTAAAAAGCATGGATCCACATGGATCCTCAGGATCTTTGCATTGGGTCACCCCAAATTCACCATCAGATCACATAGCATGTCCATGGCTACAGCCTGCACCAAAAAAATCACGCACCCACTGTTGCCTGGGGCTGCAATGGTGCAAAAACATGGTTAAAAAGCATGGATCCACATGGATCCTCAGGATCTTTGCATTGGGTCACCCCAAATTCACCATCAGATCACATAGCATGTCCATGGCTACAGCCTGCACCAAAAAAATCACGCACCCACTGTTGCCTGGGGCTGCAATGGTGCAAAAACGTGGTTACAAAGCATGGATCCACAGGAATTATCAGGATTTTTGCATTGGGTCACCCCAAATTCACCATCAGATCACATGTCTGTGGCCACAGCATGAAGCACAAAAATGATACATCCACTGTTTCATTCAGAATGTTTTTTCCCTTGTTTTCCTCCTCTAAAAACGATGTGCGTGTTATGGTCAGGTGCGTGTTATAGAGCGAAAAATACGGTAACCATACACAATCTGTGTCTAAAAGCAATCCTTTCATATGTTGCTAGAGTTATCATATCTTCTATCCATTGATTGAAGGGAGCCACGGTATTATGTTTCCAGTGAATTAATATCAATTTTTTAGCAGAAGAAAGGGCATGGAGAGTCCATTTACGTTGACCTTTTGTCAGCTCCCTTAATATTCCTGGTCTCTTGTCAAAGCATCTGCTCTTGACATTCAGTTCCTACTGGACAGCTCTCCCACAGCTCTAGGCCTCATGCTCAGTACTTGCTCCTGGAAAAGGCTATAGCTCAGTGGTACAACATCTACTTTGCATACAGAATCTCCCAGGTACAATGCCTGGTATCTCAAGGCAGCGCTGGGAATGCAACCTGCTGGAAATCCTGGAGAGCTGCTACCAGCTGGTTCAGAAAATATTGAGCTAGAAGGACCAATGGTATGCTTTTGTATATGGCAGCTTCCTGTGTCTGCTATTTGTGTCCCCTCAGTCTGCTCACGGCTGGCAGAAACAGACACTTTGGTATAACTTTGCATGGCTGCTCCTGCGTATTTACACATGCAAACTAAATTCCCCTGCCTTCATAGGTGGGGCTCTGTTATCATGGCATAGTATCTAACTGGGAAATATCATGCATCAAATGCTATGTACTTGCAGGCACGGTAGACACATGCCACTGTGGGTCTCAGTCTCAACTAGGTTAAAGTCCTTCCTTACCTGTTCTCTAGGAACAACTCTTTCACCTGGGCCACAATCCACTGTATCTCTGCAGAAGAGTTGTACCACAATTTGCAGACCTGATTGATGTCCTGCTGTTGCTGGAGAACCTAACACAAAGAGGAAAACTCAATTAACAGGCTGGATTGCTGTATGTGGGGCTGCCTTTGGGTCTGGTTCAGAAGCTCCAGAATATGGCAGATAGATTGCTGATGAGGGCATCTGGCCAAGAATTACATGACACCACTGTTAAAACAGCTGCACCGGGTATCCATCTAATACCAAGCCAGGTTCAATGTCCCTGCATTAATTTGCAAAACTCTGAATAACTTAGGTCCAGGACACCTTGGGAATTGCCTAAATGCTTATACCCCAGCTTGATAATTGAGATAATCTGCAGGAGCATCTTGGGTTGTTCCCTAAGTTGGTGAGCCTCCTTTGCCAACAAGAAACTGAGCCTTTAGTTTCACTGGCCCAGTCCTGGGGAACACTCAGCCAACAGAGATCAAGCAGGTGCCTTCTGTGTCAACTTTTAAATAGCCACTGCTGAAACTTTTTATATTCTGTCATGCCTATGTAGGCAATTAAAATATAAAATGTTCCACAACAGTTAATTGATATCCGTTTTTAACCTTTTAATATGGTTTCTATTGTACTGTACCATTTTATGTTTATTGCTGTAAACCACTTGGATACATTTTTATGACACAGCAGTATAGATATATATTTATGAACATATAAATAAACAGGAGGAATTGTGCTGTACAACACCAACGGTAAAAAAGAAACCAGGAGTAAGGTGGCCAGTGAAAAATAGCCTCACTGGATCTATCCATCAGCATTCAGGGATGGGTCATCCATTGCTATTCATCCATTGCCAGTGCAGAATTTATGGGCTTTCATTATCTGTACCAGTAAGAAAGGGTGGGGAATCGATCAATCTACCTCTTTATTATGTTCAATGATGAGAACTGGGGTGAGGCAACTTTCTGGCTCCACGGGCCAGATCCTTATTGGGATCAGCCTCATGAGCCAAATTGAACAGGCAGGTGGGCTGTCAAAATCCTTTGCATGGAGTTGCTACCTAGGAACCACACCACAAGGGATACTGTGTCAGCCATATGTCCCAGCACTTTTGGGAGCACTGAATGAGGCTGGCAAACTGCATGCTTCCCCACTCCCTGCCACTGACAAGGACATGAGAAGCAAGGCTGGAGTTTACAAGTGACAGCAGCTTTGCTGCTTTAATTGGCAAAACATAATTGTGTTTCTCCCCCACTCCCAAAATCACTTTACAGAGATGAGAGAAACAGGGCTACTTAGTGCTGTGTTCAAGCATAAGAGAGCCCTCCATGAAGGCAGCACTTTTGTGAGCCTGAACCCAACACTATGCAGCCTTATTCCTTCTGACCCTCTCAAGTGGCGTCAGCTGATAGGAGGGTAGGCATGGCCTCTCGGACTGAATTGGACCCCACTGGAGAGGTTCTCCACCCTTCTAGCATGACATCTAAATGATATATAGTATGTACATTTGGAGCACAATTCCCTAGTTGAAATTTAGTCCTCAGTATGATTCTCTAGATGCATTGTCAAAAAGGTCCAGGAAAAATATAATGTGGTATATAGAGCAAAACCTCTTGAGCTTTATATTTTACTACTTCAAAAATGAATCAGGAAGTACAAATCTGTGAAACTTACCTCAAATTGTTGATTTTTATAGGAAACCAGAAGTTCCACGACTTTCTCTGGGAAGGCAAGTAAAGAAGAAAGACAGTAATTGTTTTGAAATCTATGAAATGCAAAACACCCTGAGCACCATTTCTTCAAACAGCAAGATGCTAATTTAACAAATAACTAAATATTATTTCCATCATAAGAACTCTTTCCATCATAGACCCCTGAGGGTCATCTAGTCCAACCCCCTGCGAAATTACCCTTGAGGCCCCTTCCAACTCTACAATTCTATGGTTCTGAGAGCTGATAAACTGAAGCTCAATTCAGATATGACTGAGGCAGTGGTAGTGGGTGGTTCCTTATACCTGATGGATGGGTAGTGGCCTGCTCTTGATGGGGTGACATTTCCTCAGAAGTAAATGAGAAGCACTGGGCATCATCGAGGTCAGCCCTTGCCTATGGCCATGCTAACTGGGACTGATGGGAGTTGTAGCCCAAAACAGGCAGAGGGCACTCAAGCACCAGACTGGTGAAGGCTGATCTGGGTAATGCACTGCATTGCAGGAATGACTGTATCATCCTCTTCACATCAGCACCACTTCATACACTTAGGCTCCATTTAGGCCCCAAAGTTACTTAAATTTCTACCAAGGCCGGTCACCTGTACTGCATGGCTGCTTTTTGTTGAGAGATGCTTCTGAAGCTGAAGCCTTTTTCAGGCAGGGATGCCAAAAAGCCCTGCAGCTAGTAGCCATGAAGACATGTACAATGAGGGTAAGAATGGTGAACTGACATCTAATATGCTTTCCACACCCTCATTTCCAGCAAGCCCCAGCCCCAGGATTTCAGTGCTTCGGCATGACTCAATGCAGGGGTGAAGAACTGAAGGTGACTAGTGGGTCATATCCTTACCCCTCACCAACTCCTGCAGACCAAACCTATCAAGCAAGTGGGGCTAGCAACAAGACCATAATCTGATGTCACAACAGCTTAAGGTGAACATTTTCCTTTCCCTATGTGCTTTGAATTGAGCCATGCAGGCAAACACAGTGCTTTTAAGGTGCTGAAAATCAGCTGATTGCCAATTTTGGCAAAGCCCTGTGCCTTTACAAGTGCTGTAGAGATTATCAGATCAGGTTAAGGCACAGCTGGTGCCTGCAAAACCCGCTTTCAGCAGCAAGCAGGATCTTTTACCTGTGGACTAGATGCCCACTGTGGGGCAAATGGGTGTGGCTTGGCCAAAACAGCTTGGAGAGCCAAATGGGGAGGCCCAGTGGGCCTGATTAGGCTCTGTGGGTTGAAGGCTTCCCCACAGCAGCCCTAAAAGATGATGGAATAAACCTCTGCCATCGTGCAAAGAAAACTGCACACACATTAGAAACATTTTGTGGGTGTTTTTTTTGAAGGGTTAATAATAATAATAATAATAATAATAATAATAATAATAATAATAATTTATTTATATCCCGCCCTCCCCAGCCGAAGTCAGGCTCAGAGCGGCTAACAGCAATAAAAGTAACACAGCATTCTAAAATCAATATTCTAAAATCAAATCAAAATCAAATGGCAACCACTGGGCCAGAGTTCTACGAGGATCACCAAAGGAGGGGGTCAGGCTGTGCCCTGGCCCAAGGCCTGGTGGAACAGCTCTGTCTTGCAGGCCCTGCGGAAAGATGTCAAGTCCCGCAGGGCCCTTGTCTCTTGTGACAGAGTGTTCCACCAGATTGGGGCCACAGCTGAAAAAGCCCTGGCTCTGGTTGAGGCCAGCCTAACCTCTCTGTGGCCCGGGACCTCCAAAATGTCTCAAGGGCAGCCCCACGTAGAGTGAGTTACAATAATCAAGTCCAGAGGTGACCATCGCGTGGATCACAGTGGCTAGGTCAGGGCGAGAGAGGTAAGGAGCCAACTGCTTAGCTTGGTGGAGATGAAAAAATGCCGCCTTTGTTATAGCTGCAATCTGCACCTCCTTGGAAAGGGAGGTGTCAAAGATTACACCCAAACTCTTAATGGACAGTGCTGGCACTAATTGCGCCCCCACAAGAGGCGCAAAAATCCCATATTGTCCCGACCCAGCCAAAGGACCTCTGTCTTCAAAGGATTTAACTTCAACCGGCTCCCACGTAACCATTCAGCCACAGCTTCCAAACATCTGGTCAGTGTGTCTGGGGCCGAGTCAGGATGGCCATCCATCAACAGATAGAGTTGGGTGTCATCAGCATACTGATGACAGCCCAGCCCAACCCAAAACTCTGGACAAGCTGGGCGAGGGGGCACATAAAGATGTTGAAAAGCATCAGGGAGAGTATCACACCCTGCGGCACTCCACACACCAAGGAGTGGCGCAACGACAGTTCCCCCCCCCAAGCGCCACCCTCTGTCCCTGACCAGAGAGAAACGAGTGCAGCCATTGAAGGACTGTGCCCTGGATCCCCACATTAGCAAGGCGGTGGTCCAGGAGTTTGTGATCGACCATGTTGAAGGCTGCTGACAGGTCTAAAAGAATCAGCAGCCCCAACCCGTCTCAATTCAATGCCTGCGGAGATCATCTGTTAGGGCGACCAGAGCCGTCTCGGTCCCATGACCAGAGAGGAAGCCGGACTGGAAAGGATCCAGAACCGATGTTTCATCCAGGAACCCATCAAGCTGTTCAGCAACTGCTCTCTCAATCACCTTACCCAGAAACTGAAGATTCAAAACCAGGCAGTAATTGGATAGATCTAAAGGATCTAATGATATTTTCTTTAAGAGCAGGCGCACCACTGCCTCCTTCAATTCCCCTGGGAATGTCCCGGTGCCAAGGGACAAATTGATGATATCACCCAGGGGGGCCCGCACCTTGTCTGGACACGCTCTAATCAGCCAGGACGGGCACAGGTCAAGAGGATAGGTGGTGGGCTTTCCAGCTCGGAGGAGTCTGTCCACATCGGCTGGGGATATCCGGTCAAAGTGGTCCAATACTGGACCCGAGGACAGTCGAGGGGCCTCCAGTTCTGTTATTGTATCCAAATTGGCAGGGAGGTCACGGCGGAGCAACAGGACCTTCTCCGCAAAAAAGCCCACAAATGACTCACAGCTATGTGTCAAATTGTTATTTCAATTTGGCTGTCCCTCCAGGGACGTTAAAGACCTAATTATACTAAATAATTGCGCCGGGCAAGAGCTAACGGATGCAATGGAGGCTGAGAAGTAAGACTTCTTAGCGGCCTTCACTGCCATCTCATAGGTTTTCATAAAAACCAAATAAGATGTTCTTGAGGCTCTGTCGCAGGCACCCTGCCATACTCGCTCTAGCCGTCTGAGGTCCCACTTCATTTTCTGGAGCTCCTCGGTAAACCAGGGAGCCCGGTTTCTGCGGGGTCGCAGAGGGCACAATCTCATTGATGGCCTCCAAGAGCTGGGTATTCCAGTCCTCAACAAGCTCAGTCAATGAGTCGCCAGAGGGAGAATGTCCCGCAAGGCTTGACGGAATCTATCAGGGTCCATCAGCCTCTGCGGGCGAGCCCAAATCGGCTTGCCAACTAAGCAGGGTGGGGGTGGAAAGTCAATCCTGGCTTTCAGAGCGTAGTGATCAGACCATGGCACCTTCATCGAAGGGGACATGATCACATCTATACATGCACCAAAAATCGAATCCAGTGTGTGGCCTGCTTGATGTGTGGGGCCCGAAACAAACTGAGAGAGCCGTAGTGTCGCCATGGAAGACACCAGGTCGAGAGCCTGTGAGGAGGGAGTGGCATCAGCCTGGATGTTGAAGTCCCCCAATATCAATAGGTTAGGGAACTCCAAGGCCCAGTCAGCCACTGCCTCCAGTAGGCCTAACAGGGTGGCTGCTGGTGCGCTAGGTGGCCGTTACACCAGCCAGACAGCCAAGCTCTCCTCGGAACCCCACACTAGGCCAACACATTCAATGCCAGGGATCGATGGCGATGGCAAAGCCCTGAAGGAACAATCTTCCCGGATTAATAATGCCACCCTCCCCCCCACCCCGGCCCACAGTCCGCGACTGGTGGAGGACGGAGAAATCCGGGGGTGCCACCTCTTGTAAGGTAACTGTTTCCCCTTCTGGCCTCTGTCACACAAGCCCAGGTCTCTGTCACACAAGCCAGGTCCGCCCCCTGCGAGGTAAAGAAATCTCACAGGGTGGCGGTTTTGTTGCCTATAGACCTGGCATTGCACAGCACCAGTGACGGAGGTGAGTAATCCTTGCTCACCCTACCCTCCTCCCTCGGGATAGGGCGCAGATCAGAAGGGGTACGAGTGTATCCGTATCTCAATCCCCTTCGCCTATAAAATCTGTTCCCACTGCCACACCTCCCTTGCCCCTCCACAGTAGCAATCCCGAGCCTTATACTAGCCTCCATTGATATCATTGATGTTATTATTTCCCAGCCTAATTATTCTGCTTATAATATCAACAGCTCGATAAACTCTAATTAGTCGAGTAGTTACCTATTGGCTTTAATTAACACAAAGGGGGATCTGTATTTCAAAATGAGTGTTCCTGCTCAGGGATGACCAGGAGCCACGTAGCGCTGTTTGGGGCTCACATTGAGCACACTGAGCATGAAAGCTTAATTGCCATATAGATGAAGGTTGGGTGAGGTGGGGAGGAAAGGGTAAAACACTGGAGAATAAGTTCTTTAAATCTAATGGCAACACTTCAGAGTACTATAAGCTTCTTAGGGGCCCAAGGTGCCTAGTTTCATCTCCCCAATTTCCATTTGAATTGACAATTCCATGCCTCAACTTCTCTCACAGATGCAGACTTGTTACTAGGTTCATACCATTGACCTCTAGCTCCTTTTTTCTTCTCTCTGCCCCCAGCTTCCTGCCTCAAGAAAACAATGCAGAAATCCAGGATTTTAGCATAGCTGTAATTGGGTGGCAGTGTGTATCCACATGGTGACTATACTCACCTTGAAACATCACATTTTCCTGACAGTCGAGGGACTCCAATTTTTCAGGCTCCGTTATACTGCTGATGAACCCGGTACCTGCTAGTGGCGATTCCTCATCCTCATCCTCTTCATATCCTCTTACTAGGTTATTGGCCAACTGGCGGCTCCAATATGTTTGCCGGAGCCATTCCAGGACAACATCACAGCCTGGAGGTGACAACACATTTACAGTATAGAGAAGATAGTAAAACAAAGGCAGCCTGGTCAAGTGAAAGATTTACAAGTAATTTCTCATAACTGCTCCGTACAGGGAAACATGTGCAGAGGACAGCAACAAGAGTGCATGTCTTTTCAGTGGCTGCCCCTCTGTTATGGAATGCTCTCCCAAAGGAGGTTCGCCTGGTGCCAACACTGTCAACTTTTAGGCACCAAGAAAATACATTCTTGTTCTTTCTGGAATATGAATCTTCACATGGTTTATTTGCTTAATACATCCATATACCACCTTCCTACCAGTGGACTTATGGTGCTCTACAATGTAAAATAATGACTGTAACTAGCTTGGTGGATCACAACCTGGATGAGCTTGTTCTTAGATTTGTCTATGGAGGGAAGGTACTATGTAAAATTAGAATCATACAGTTGGACAGGAACAAATTTTTGTCCAGCATGGGGCTCCGCTGGAGCAAAAAGACAGGCTAGCACTCCCTCTCTTCCATCTACAGAGTGATGCTCTACTGCCTTCTGTTCCCCTACAAATGAACACTCTATCTGTCCAGATTTTCAGACCACCCAGTTTTTCTATTGGTGAAAGAATTTACCAAGCCCTAAATGCACAGCACCACCTACTGGAAATAATAAAGTACTGCACTTAGCGGTTAGGCATTTGGAGAGGCAGAGCAGCCCACTGGAGCTGAAGATCAGTAGGTGAAGGTGGAATTAGAGTTAAATGTCTCTTTTGTCCCAATGTTATCTCCGATCAAACAGGTCCTCAAAAGCACGAGACTTCCACATGTATCTCCAGTACTCCTGGAGCTACATGCTGAGTGGGTCATGCCCAGAAAGCAAGGCAGACAAGCTCTCTTCATGCCAGGTAATCCAAGCAGGGACACGGGTGGCGCTGTGGTCTAAACGACAGAGCCTAGGGCTTGCCGATCAGAAGGTCCTGCCAACCTAGCAGTTCGAAAGCACGTCGGTGGGAAGGTAAACGGTGTTTCCGTGCGCTGCTCTGGTTCACCAGAAGTGGCTTAGTCATGCTGGCCACATGACCTGGAAGCTGTCTGCAGACCAACACCGGCTCCTCAGCCCGTAGAGCGAGATGAGCGAGGCAACCCCAGAGTCATCCACGACTGGACCTAACCATCAGGGGAACCTTTACCTTTACTCCAAACAAAATAACTTTAAAGCTCCATAGTTTGCATGGAGTGGAGGGGATGCCCAACCAGTGAGCCAGCTCTGGAAGGCTAGTAATGGTCTGTAAGATCTCACAGCCAGCATGCTGAGCAGGCCTTGGCCCCCAAGGCAGAGAGCTTAAAAGCTTTTTCTATGCCAGGTAACTCTATGTCTTGCTTTGCTTTGTGCAATTTCAACCTGTCTGCCTTCAACTGTGTCAGGTTGAAATTGTGAAAGTTAATTGCATGTAACGCGCGATTGTACTGCACATAGATTGTCAGCGAGACTGATAGTCCATCTCTATCACCTGCAGATCTTCTGCTCCCTCAAAGGATGCCGACCTTTGTCTCTTACTACCCCTTCTGCCTGGAAATACCTTTCCAGAATACCTCGCTTCTAACCCTTCCTCAAAACACACCTCTTCCATGAAGCCTTTAGCAAACCCACTTACCCTCGTACTCTATTACAGCTAAGCCTAAGAACATATAACTATACCCCCTTTTATACCCAAGTAGATGGCTGTAATCTATGGGAGAGTCTTTCTTGAAAGTTCCAAAGATCTCAGAAGCCCACTCTGTAGTAATTCAGTGCAGGACTTTTAGTGTGGCTGCTCCTGTTCTGTGGAACAGCGTTCCTACTGAGATATGACATGCACCCACTATCTGCACTTTCTGGAAGCAACTGAAGATATTTTTGTTCCCACAGGCTTCCCCAGCTGGATAAATGGATCTTTACCATGAGTCTTTACTTGTTACAGGTTCAGAATCATTTTAAATGTATTTGTTGTTTTCAGTTTTAAACTGATTTTAATTATTTGAAAATCGCCTTGTCACCTATTCTTCCCATTTACCCCTGCTTCCATTTCTCCAGGTGGGAGCCTCTACAGTCTGGTCCGTTCTCCCACACAATGGGCACAGATAGCACTATATAAAACTGCACTCACCTTTTTGGCAAGCATCCAGGTGAGGTAGGTTGCCATGGGTCAAATCATGACGAAGGTTCACAATCCAGACTGGGATGTTTAGCTATAAAAGAGAACCAAATGGTCATTAACATCACAGGGGCAAGGGGTAAGACCTCCCTCACATTTGCTGGAGATGAATACTATCTGTGTCATCATTATCCAACTGCCTGCCTCTCTGTCTCTCTGTCTCTCTGTCTGTGTGTGTGTGTGTAATGTCTGTAGCCTGCAGAGACTTAATTCTCTGGAACCTTCCTACCTCTTTTGCTAGGCGTCTCAGTGGAATGACGACCGTTTTCTGCTTCCGCTCTGTGATGAGGTTCACAAACCTGCACATGAAAGGAAAAAAATACCCAATACACAACTGATTCTAGTTTTTCATGATACATTTGTCTGAAAAAATGTTTCCAGGAATGCAGTCAAAATATAAAACTGGAATAAAGCTTTATTTTGTTTTCCTGAACTGAACCTGAACTGTTGTTTGAAAGTCTCCACTGAATGTGAATCCACAAAAAACAAATAAATAAAAGTTAAGTCAATAATATCTGATGTGGTACACTAAAGGGTATCATCAGATTTAATCAGTATGAGCACAATGTACATGTCTCTGACTGTAAGATTAAAATTAACATTACAAATTTATTACATACTCAGAATTCTTTTAGACCTATCAGCTCTGCCCCACAACACTAATCAAAACATGACTTAAATACTTAAGTTTGATTTCAAATTACAGCCACAGAATATCTGACTGGTAAATTCTTAATAGACGAATAAAGGGCCATCTTCATATATGAGGATCAGACTGAATCAAAGGCATTGTGCATTACCCTTTACTTTATACAATTCACCTAGGATCATATTGCTCTATTTATTTCAGAATTTTATAGAAGACCAGTCATATAATTCCAAAATTTGATGGTTGCTGGATGATGCAAACAGGTTTGTTGCCTATAGAGCAGCTTCATATGCGCTAGCATAAGAGAAAGTTGTGGGTGACTTTTTTTTTTTGGGGGGGGGCCTCAAACAGTGTCAGCTGCCAAAAAGATTATTTAATCTAAATGAATTGGAAACCTTACACATTACTTTTTTTCTAATCTGCAGTTCTAAAAATGTGAAATGCCTTAAATCAATCATCTTGGATTGGATTGTCTGGTTTTGCTTTTATTATTTAAATCTAATTGAACGGCTGTATTAAAGTTCTCTCATGCAAGCTAGAACTGAACCTGTTGGTTCCTATGTGCCAACTCAATTACTAAACCTTTATTCACCTTAACTGAAATCAAAACAGAATTTCAGTTGTGGGTAAACCTGAGCTGGAGACAACAGCCAAGGACTTAACGGTTGGAATTTTAACACATACTGCAATTAAAAATTATATATAGACTGAAAATGCTATAGTGGTATGGCAGCTTTCTACAAAGAAAGCCTAATCTCTCCCTGCTTAACACCAGGGGTGTGGAATTACTGACTAGCACAAACACCCTTTCCAGCCCTCCATTCTTCCTTCCTCTGTCTACCCATTCTTACCTCACAAGAGCTAGACCATACGTAAGGACCAGTTCATGGGATTTCAGAACACCAGAGGCATCTAGGAGTTTACAACGAATCAGATCCGCAGTGCACTCAACAGCTAATGGCATCCTATGCCCATACCTAGGTTTAAAGAGTGAAACACAGTGAGGTCAGAATTGTCTCCAATTGTCTCACCTGGAGTACTGTGTCCAGTTCTGGGCACCACAGTTCAAGAAGGACACTGACAAACTGGAACGTGTCCAGACGAGGGCAACCAAAATGGTCAAAGGCCTGGAAACGATGCCTTATGAGGAACGGCTAAGGGAGCTGGGCATGTTTAGCCTGGAGAAGAGGAGGTTAAGGGGTGATATGATAGCCATGTTCAAATATATAAAAGGATGTCACATAGAGGAGGGAGAAAGGTTGTTTTCTGCTGCTCCAGAGAAGCGGACACGGAGCAATGGATCCAAACTACAAGAAAGAAGATTCCACCTAAACATTAGGAAGAACTTCCTGACAGTAAGAGCTGTTCAACAGTGGAATTTGCTGCCAAGGAGTGTGGTGGTCTCCTTCTTTGGAGGGAGGCTTGACAACCATATGTCAGGAGTGCTCTGATGGTGTTTCCTGCTTGGCAGAGGGTAGGACTCGATGGCCCTTGTGGTCTATTCCAACTCTATGATTCTATTCTATGATTCCATTCTGAAGACAAAAAGCATATACCTACCTCCTAGAGAAGTTTTCAAACTCTGAGTTTAAGAAAACCCCTCAAGGAGACCTGTGAACTCCTTGAACTGTGGAAAAGTGGCACACAAATAAAATTATTTAAGTATGCCATTTTTTTCATCTGGAATTGCCAAAGATAGGTACTGTGTGAAATTGACCAGGATCTAGATCAGGGGTAGGGAACTTGTGGTCATGCAAATGTTGAATTCCAAATCCTATCAGCCAGCGTGGCCAAGGGATGACATGAGTTGTAGTCCAGCAACATCTGGAGTGCCATAAACTCCCCACCCTTGATCTAGATCAGTGGTTCTCAAAGGGTGTGGCAGCAGAGGAAGGTACATGTGGCAGGAAGATTCAAGAACATTCAAAGAAACATTTAAACATTTCAGTGCAGTATAGTATCAAAAAAAATTTTTTTTGAATATGCAACCAGAAGCAGAATCCATGCCTCTCTTCAAGAGGCGATTCTTCTACAGTTCTCCACAACTTAATCCTTGTGAACAGGGATTTTCAACAAATATGAAAGATCAGAAAAGATGTCTTCTTTGTGTTGTTTCTCTCAAATTAGACCTAATATAAATGAGATTACCCGGCAAAAGCAAACTCACACCTCTTACTGAGTCTGTACTTAAGATACATATGTAAGAAGCTCATTATATTATATTTTGAGAATGATTCATGTTTCCTATGTAGCTGCATTGTTTTATATTTTCTGGATGTCCCATGATCATATTATAAAGTATTCATGTTCTATGTTATAAAGCAAGCATTGATGGGAGCTGTTTCTTTTTGTTTTCCAATGTATTTCTTATCAATAAAAAATTTAGTGAGGTGCAAGCAAATTTTTATTCTGAAAGTGTGGCCCAGAGAAAAAAGTTTGAGAACCACTGATCTAAATTCAAGAGAAAAGCCAAGAGCTTGGGACTGAGAAAAGAATAGGTGCTGCTAAGCAGAGGAGGAGTGGACAGAGGTCTTCACTCCTAGCAATCATAGGATAGAGCAGAGCTTTCCAAACTGTGTGTCACAACACGTTAGTGTGTCAGTTGCAGTGTGTAGATGTGCCATGGGAATGCTCCCCGCACTTCTGAAAGGGGATAGTTTAACGTTCAGTTTGCCGAATTACTGTGTCGCGAAATTATGCATGTTTAAAAAGTGTGTCACCAACATGTAAAGTTTGGAAAGCTCTGAAATAGAGTCTGACTCACCTTATCTCCTGCCATCCTTCCCTTGCACTTCAGATACCTCCCCACACTGCTTGCTGTCTCTATAACCTGTTCACATTCCCTCTTACCTGCTTTTCCAAGCAGATATTCGGTCCAACGCATCCTGTTGTATCTCACGGTCCCCACAATATAGGCCCACCATCACTTGGTCCCATTCAGCTTTGCTCTCCCAAGCCACGACACTCTGTGGCCTCTTCCGCCAAGACATCTGCTTCCATCCTGGGGTTGTGCTACTGGGACCACTCGCCATGTTGCGGCTACACTCTTCAACAACAGATCCAACACTATCAGATCTAAGGATAAAACAAAACTTTTGTGAGCTGAAACACACCAAAGTCAATGTCTCATATGCATTCTCAAGCTGACAAGTGCTATCCCTACAACCCACATAAGTTCAAAGGTCAGCTTGGACAAAACTGGCATTTACTCAACTTCCAGTAGGCAGCTGTGCTGCTCTGTTGCAGCATAAACCAAAGAACATCTTGAAGCACCTTTAACACAATTAAATTATTAACCTATACTTGATGCTGTTTTCCTGTATTTCTGTGGCGGTCCTATATCTTATTTATCTATCAAACCATACACCCATAAATAAACATACCTTTTTGTATGATGCATATATAAATATAAAAAGACATTTTAAAATATTCATACAGCACTGGATCCTGGTAAGATCCTGTTAATCACTAAAATCATACACTGATGACAATTACTAAGTTTTGCATGTGCTCTCTATAAATATATCACATGCACACTTACACTCAAGTCTCTGCTGCTTTTGCTGCATTTAAAGGTAAAGGTAAAGGGACCCCTGACCGTTAGGTCCAGTCGTGAACAACTCTGGGGTTGTGGTGCTCATTTCGCTTTATTGGCCGAGGGAGCTGGTGTACAGCTTCCGGGTCATGTGGCCAGCATGACTAAGCCGCTTCTGGCAAACCAGAGCAGCGCATGGAAACGCCATTTACCTTTCCGCCGGAGTGGTACCTATTTATCTACTTGCGCTTTTGACGTGCTTTCGAACTGTTAGGTTGGCAGGAGCAGGGACCAAGCAACAGGAGCTCACCCTGTCGCAGGAATTCGAACTGTTGACCTTCTGATCGGCAAGTCCTAGGCTCTGTGGTTCAGCCCACAGCACCACCCGCGTAGCAATTCATACCTTCACATTATACCGTACACACATCACACAAAATACATAATATTTCAGATGTATACACTTAAACATATACACTAACACACATAAAGGTTATAAATTAGGATCACTATACTTAGTGGTATTTATATGATTCTATGTTGTTTTAAACTGTATTGAGCTGAACTACTGTAAGGCCGCCGCCAGCACATGGAACAATAATTCCTACGAATACATTCATACACTGTATTTACAGACGTACAACACACACGCACCGTCCCCCACGTCCACCTTATGCTGAGCAGACCCGCCGCACACACTTATATCCTGCACCGAGGGGACCTGCTGACGAGGAGCGAAGCTCCCCAGCCCCTCCAAAGTCAAGAAGAGAGTAAGCCGACCGAGCGGAAAAGAAAACGAGCGGGAGACAAAGCAAGACCAATTGCAGCGGCAGGGGCGGGGCGAAGGAAGCGAGGGGGCAATCTGATTGGGTGCGCCGCGCCCCCTGTGACACGGAAGCGGATATGAGGGAGAAGGCATAGACATAGCTGCGGCAAGACTGTCCCCGGCGGCTGAGCTTCCGGGGCTTTTCAGGCTTGGTGTTTGTGGTTGCCGGTCTTCACCTGGGCGGAAGTGACGGTTGCCCATAGTAACGGCACGGGATTCCAGGGTTTTAAGGGGAGCTGCGGTTGGGCGGAAGCCTCTTATGTTTTCCTCAGGCGGGGGCGCAAGCGCACAAGCATGCCATTCTCGCGTGAAAGGCGTCAGTACTGAGAGGTCAGGTGGGTAAGAGATATAAGCATCTTACGAGTTTATTTAGGCTTCATACATTTTTTCATCCAGGCTGGCGTACCTGGCTCTCCCCGTTCCCGTATCCCCACGACAACCCTGTAATACCTCAGGCCGAGAGGCAGTAGCTGAGTGGGAATAGGGAACCCTGGTCTCCTCCAGGCCCAACCACTAGGCAAACTGCCTCTCACAGCCCTGTTAAACTTTCAGCAAAAGTTTTTGATGAAAGAACAACCCCCCCCACACAACTTTTCACACAAAAATGAGATCCAGGTTCCATTGCCTCCCCTTCAGCTATTATTTGTGTGGAAGTCATGGCAGAGGATCTACTGCAGCTGCTGTTGCGACACCAGATCCTTGAACCCCTCCATTGTTTTCAACAGTCCCCTCTCAGCCCTGCCCACATTATAACCTGGCAGTAATTTCCCTGATTCGTAAGACTGAAACCTGCTTTATATGAATGAATGCCCCAAATGTCTTTTGATACCAAGTACTCAAGATTGTTTATTGTGGCAGCACCTACACTTTGGAACTCTGCCTGTTGGGACCAAGCAGGTGCCGTACTGTACTTGGCCATGCAGGTCGCTGGGTGATGGCAGGTCTGGGTAAATGTCCCCTCAAAATTTAAAAGTGCATAAAAAAACTGCTGACTCTTCCTGTTCAGTTGTTGCTTACTCTGGCTCAGCTTCTCCTATGCTGAAGATGCATCTTTAAGCATGCCCATGCTTACAGACTCCAGTACTCTCTAAGGAATTTTACAACAGTTAGGACTGGCAATCCTACCAAGGCCCTTGTCTCGCTATGCAACAGTGAGATTCAGAGTGGTTTCTCTGCTACTGTGGAGCACATTCAGTTCCCCTGATACACCGCAGAGTATACATGAGATGAAGCAGGCAGGCAGGATGACAGAGCATAGGTGGTGGAAGTCCCACCACAAAGATATCCAAACACAGGCAATCATGCCTACTCTGTAACTGTGAAAACACAAAGCGGACCTACTCCATTGCTTCCAAGTCATCATCAAGAGATCAGCTGGTGGAGTTTTTCAGGGTGGTCAGGTCAGCAGTCTATTGGCACCTATATCAGTGGAGTGGGCCCAGGACACTTCAGAGACCTTCTGTGAGTTGCTTGCTAGGCACTTTGAGGGCAAAGTTTATTCATCTCCATAGATGTTGTGATTGATGCATTCCCAATATAGGTTTCAAGCACTCCATCAAGCCATGCTTTGTGGGATCAGTTTCAGCTTGTAGCCTGATGGTGGTGGCAGGGTGCCAACAACGTGTCATTTCCATGTCCTTGCCCTTCAGATGGCATTTAACAACTACTGTACTGCTCTGTCGTAGATACCACCTTTTGGGACAAGGAATTTTAGGGAGCCATTGTGATACAACTGCAGTGTTCCTGGTGTTCCTGGAGAAAACAATATGTAGACACATTTCAATCTGGATACAATCTGCTTTGGTCACCCTGGTAAATGACAACTATTGGGAGAGGCAGAATATGATCCTATAGCTCTAACAAAATCTCTCATTGGCTTTTGATACCATTAACCATGGTATCCTCCTGAACCATCTATGAGACATGGATGTAGAGAAGGGATGTTACTCAGAAGAGTCTCTTCCATGCCATTCCTGGCCCCACTGCTGCACAATAGCCCTGCAGTGCTTTCCTTAAAAAAAAAAAAGGCAGTTCAGCTGCTTTAAAATAAATTAAAAAGAATAATTGCAAACTGAACACCCCACCCCCTCCACCTTTCCCCAACCTAAAGGCATAGTTCAGATGTCGTATAAGCACTGAAGTGGAGGCTGAATGTTACTAATATCAGCATGAAGGAAAATACTAATGCAACCATATATTATGGAATTTAGCAAGTACAGTGCTCTTCTACCTGGTCGTTTATCTTTTTAGGTCACAGCCTCAGAAAAGGGAGGAAATGACCAATTAACAATCAAACCTAGGCATCCTGGACCAATGTACCTCACACCTCCAACCAACCCATTGAAATTTCTTTAGAGTTTAAAGTCAGTTCCCCAGCTCCTTGCTTCTCCCTGAGAATAAATTACTGTGTTTGCCCACTCTGACTTTAGACCTCCAGTAGCATGGTTCCAAGCAGCAGCAGCAGCAGCAGCAGCAGGAGGAAACGGTGACCTTGCAGGGCACAAAAACTTCTCCAAAGCAGCACTAAGGAATATTTTGCATGGGAGAAATAGTGGGCAGGAATACTGTGTAGTGGGGAAAAGCTCCAAGGTGGGGTGTGATCTGCAGGTGGGAAGCAGGTGGGGAAGGGCTAGGTAGGCAAAAGATCACTAATAACCACCAGTACAAACAGGGAAATTTCATCACTTGATATGTTCCATGTTGCAGACCAACCATATTCATGGCCCTCTGTCCCACCTGGTCTCACACATTTTATTAAGCAAGTGTTCCTGGAAGTGTGGCAAAAAACCCCTGTCCATCCCACCGCATAATGAAGGAAAAGCTGAACTGCACAAATGTATACTGTAAAGACAGCATCTTGTTTAAATACCTACTATTAAAAACCATTACGCCCTTGGGGGTCTTCCATTAGTTTTTTGATCAGGCGTAATGGGATTAGTAGTAAACTAGGAGCCTGCAAAAAGCATTTCCAGTTTATTCCCTTTGTGCCTCACTAAAGGGATTGAGCAAAGCAGGGCAGGAACCAAGGAAGGATGTACAGCAGCAGATTTACATAAAGGCTGCATTCACACCATGTATTTAAAGCACATTTAAAACATTCTACCCCTCTTCCTCCCCCCAAAAAAGAATCCTAGAAAGAGTTGTTTGTGTAGGGTGCTGAGACCTGTGAGCTCTGAACTATTGTTCACAGGATTCTTGGGGGTCATAGAATCATAATTATAGAGTTGTTTTGTTTTGTTTTTTATAAATATTTATTAAAGTTTTAACAAATACAAAAAAAACCAGGAACAAACAATAAAAAGATACAATAAAAAAGACAAAAAAAACTATAGAAAAAGAAAAGCAAAAACAGCAAAAAGACAAAAACATTTTAAAAACACAAACATTTAAAAAAGAAAAAGAAAAAACCCATGTTTTCATATCCTTATTTTACATTTGCTTATTTCCTTGACTTCCTCGAACCTCCCGCTTTGCATTCCAGTTCAATTAATTATTTCAGCAAGTCCTTTCCCTTTTTCACCAATTTAAATCTCAACTTTTTCTTAACGCAATTTAGCCTTAAATTTTACACTTTAACCATAGTCGATCTATTTCTTACTTAATTCTTAGTAACATTTCTACTAAAGCCCAATACCTTCCTTCCAACAACCTCCTAGCATTCATTAATTTTACAATATTTCTGTAAATATACTTTAAATTTCCCCCAATCTTCTTCCACCGACTCTTCTCCCTGGTCTCGAATTCTGCCGGTCATTTCCGCCAACTCCATATAGTCTATCAACTTCATCTGCCATTCTTCCCGGGTAGGTAGATCTTGTGTCTTCCAGTACTTTGCAATAAGTATTCTCGCTGCTGTTGTAGCATACATAAAAAAAGTTCTGTCCTTCTTTAACACCAATTGGCTGACCATGCCCAGAAGAAAGGCCTCTGGTTTCTTCAGAAAGGTATATTTAAATACCTTTTTCATTTCATTATATATCATCTCCCAAAAAGCCTTAATCCTTCGGCACGTCCACCAAAGGTGAAAGAATGTACCTTCAGTTTCTTTACATTTCCAACACTTATTATTGGGCAAATGATAAATCTTTGCAAGCTTGACTGGTGTCATGTACCACCTGTATATCATTTTCATAATATTCTCTCTTAAGGTATTACATGCCGTGAATTTCATACCAGTGGTCCACAACTGTTCCCAGTCAGCAAACATAATGTTATGTCCAACATCTTGTGCCCATTTAATCATAGCAGATTTAACCGTTTCATCCGGCGTATTCCATTTTAACAGCAAGTTATACATTCTTGAACATAATTATAGAGTTGGAAGGGACCTCAAGGGTCATCTAGTCCAACCCCCTGCAATGCAGGAATATCAGCTAAAGCATCCATAACAAATGGCCATGCGACCACTTCCTTTGTTATACTAAGAACCCTACATATTTGACTCACCAAGAAGCTGGCCTGGCTTCCTCAATAATTGAATCCTCCATTAGATTTTTAACCCTTGTCAAGTTCAGGACCTCAAGAATTATAAGGGACTCAGACATCATGCAGTCTAATCCCCCAAACTTACAACAAAACAAACCAACAAATGTTTCCACCTCCCTGTAATGAATGCATTGCCAACTGAATACAGTGGTACTTCGGGTTACATTCACTTCAGGTTGCATACGCTTCAGGTTACAGACTCCACTAACCCAGAAATAGTACCTCGGGTTAAGAACTTTGCTTCAGGATGAGAACAGAAATCGTGCTCCGGCGGCGTGGCTAAAGTGATGCTTCAGGTTAAGAACAGTTTCAGGTTAAGAGCGGATCTCCGGAACAAATTAAGTACTTAACCCGAGGTACCACTGTATCTGGCATTTGCCCTTGTTTTAAGAGAATCAGCTATGACCGAGGAGCCCAACTCCTGGAGAGTTAACTCACAGGTGTGGCCTGGCTGGAGGACTTTAATTTCTACTCTGCGCAGGTTCCGAGGCCTCATCAACAATAAAGTGCAATTCACTGTTAACTAAGCTTGTGTTACATTCATACATAAATAAATAGCAGAAAGAGCCCCCCACCCCAGTAGTCATTTTTATCTACTGCTCTCAGAAGGTGGGATATTAGCAGCCCAGTAGAGGGCATTTTCTGGCAGCTCTATGGGTGTAGAAATCCCTTCCCAAAGAGCTAAATCTGACACCTGCATTATGTAGTTTTTGTGGT